CGTAACATCGTAACACTAACAGTAACATCGTAACAGTAACAGTAACAGTGTCATCGTAACAGTAACATCGTAACAGTAACAGTAACAGTATCATCGTAACACCGTAACATCGTCACAGTAACATCGTAACAGTAACAGTAACAGTAACATCATAACAGTATCATCGTAACATTAACATCGTAACAGTAAGTGCGTGTACCACAGTTTTTTCTTCGGGTCATTAAAACTTTATAAGTGCAGCAAAAATTTGTAATGTATCGATAGATCGCGGATGTTACTCGTCTATAACGTTTATGTATTCCACATAGACAGAATATGTATATTCGTGCGAAAGGAAATCTGAACGTTGTCCGGTTAATTTATGAGGTATATCTGCGTACGTTCTGCATGTGTTTTTCAAATTAGCACACACAACGGAGAACCGAAATAAAAAAACCGAAGTCTGTCTATTACAGATTATTACAGACTGTGACTATGCAACAGGATGGTACGGACTACAGCGATTTAACAAATGCGTAACATAGTAATGGACTCAGATTCCAGCGTAATAACTCGACGTCATAAAGTCAATACGACGACAGAGAGGTGCAAGCGTACCTTTGTTTTTTTTTTTTTAAAGATTTTTTGACATAATCGACCGAGGCGAATTTGGTCGACGAAGCTAGATGCTGATCTTTACCAGTAATCAAGCTTTACTACAACCAAAGCTGTGAGAACGCGTTAAATGTCAAACAATATGCGCCGTGTCGTCAATTGCAAATGCAAAATAGAATTAATCGCAACATCGCGGAATGTCAATTTTTTTTTTGTTACTTTGTAATCGTCGCTCTATAATTGTTCGCGACGCAGTTCGCAAAGGTTAATCGTATTCCTTACAACTGGGTGACACTTCCGAATGCTCCACGCACAATACGAAACAAAGCGATTAAAAATGTGCATGCTTGATCGTACCCTACTCTTTCCTTCGACAGAACGTTAAAGACACTCGGCGATCGTCTACCTTCCAGACCTCGAAGCTTCGGCTATTTCGGGACTTCTTTAAGGACTTCAGCGACAATTCTTTAGGATATTTACGAAAAAAAGAGAATATATACAAGGTGTCCCAGGCATCGGTGGTACAACTGAGGCGGCGGTGATTCTACATGAAAAAACAAATCGAAAATAAGGAATCAAATTTTGTCATTCGAAGTTTCATTCTCGAGAAAATCGGTTTTGAATTTTAATGTTTATACATATGCCACTTATAAGTAGTACTCGCATCATTAGTATCAAGACGACGCGCTGTATTACTCATTTCCGTCTACGGATTTAGAGCGAATTTAAAGTCTGTATCGAGATCCATCTAGGCGATAGTTCAGTGTACCCGTACTCGCTTAATATTCAAAATCGATTTTCTCGAGAACGAAACCTCAAATGACAAAATTTCATTCCTTATTTTCGATTTGTTTTTTCATATAGAATCACCTTCTTCTCGGTCGTACCACCGATGCCGGGACACCCTGTATATGCCGAATTGAATAACCTCCTCCTTCTCGAAGTCGGCTAAAAAATGATGGTCCACGCGGACACCAATGCCTCGTATCCGACACTATCTGGAAAATTTCACGGGGTTCGTTCGAACAAAATAACTCCTCCAAAAATGAAGTTATTCGTATCAAATTTTCTGTACGTTAAATTTGTTTCCTAAATTTTGTTTTTCAAATTTAATTTCTCACCATTTCATTCACCGTCGAAAACCAGAATAACAGAACACCTATTATCAAATTTTTATCTAGGCAATTACTGGTAGTTGATTTTCACACGAGTGACCCTGAATTGTTAAACCTAGTCCAGTGATTTGTTATAGCGATTCAATAAAAAGCAAAGAGAGCGTATTTTTTTGGGGGGGGGGACAGAGCGTTGAACGTGGCCACCGTGCTTTTACCTAGCGACGTGTAAACCATTCGTTCGATGGAATTCGAAATCCAGGATGTATGTCGACGACCGAGCCTAATCTTTAGCGGCGTCACGTTGCGAGCCGCGCGTTAAAGGACGGTGTAAAGAAAGTGCCGTTTTACTCAAAGAGAACGTTCTCTCTCTTTCTCTCTCGATTACCGAGGAAACTTTTGTAGGAACTGTCTTTCACGTTGAACGAGGGGAGAAGCTAACTGCCGGCAGACGTAGCTTCGAAGAAGAAATCGCCTAGCGAAAACGAAAGGTGCTGCAGAACCTCGACGCGTGATGAAGTGATTTTCAGCGGGAGAAATCTTTCGACTAATGACATGTTTCTCACGACGAGAGTCACGACGAAAACCGCGCTCGTTCAACGAAACTAACATCGAATCTTTGGCGATCGAGGTACTCGTCGACGTACAGTTCTGATTGTGGTAGGTTGGCCAAAGAGGTTCGTTCGTATCGTCCATTTTGTTCCATGATCTTTTCCATGTTTTGAAATTTGCCATGCAGGTCCTCGAGTTAATACTAAACCTACTAACGTTCATTTGTACCTATTTCTACTGCGACCAAACAAAGTCTTAAGACACTTTTTCCAGTTAAATGCAAAAATATTTCACGTTGAATGAAATTGAATCCACGGATGTCCCGGAAAGTTACCAACATCGGTTCGTTATGTGAAACACACAGTTTCCTTGAACATTTGCATCATTCCGCGTGATCATTCCTACACTGCATCCGGATGTTCGTTGCGCGTCTCGATCGTACGTTCTTCCTTTACCAAGTTTCAGAACTCGTACGCGACACATGTGCTTAATACGGAGTCAGTGTTGCTTGGTTGGATTACGAAAGAAGTGGAACTCGATATTGGTGTCAATAGCGGCGCCTGTATAGCTGTGCTACTGTATCTTCTAGATGAAACTTTTACTTTTTTAACAAGCGAGGAGAATTCGTCGGGACCTCTGAGTAAATCTAATCGGTTAATTTGCATTTCGTGTCCAGGGAATATTCAACCTACTTAGAGAATCGCAAAGTCATCTGCTCGACTACGGTCATTTTTCACGAAGGTGTACAGTACTTGACAGATCCAAGAAGACCCTAGTCGGAGTTATACAAAGTCACCTATCCTCGAATGGATTATACGGTCGAATGAATTTATGTTTCGCAGCAGGACGACAACAACGAGATACCAACTCGTTTACTATCGGTAATGTATCTAGCGTTCCATCGTTCAATCCCACGAAACAACTCTAAATTCGTATGCAGAGCACTTCGTCGTACGCTATCTCGCTGCACTGTTTCAGCAACTATGAGAGAAAGAAACCAAGGAGAATTATCCTCGAGCTTTTCCCTCTGAATGCCAATTCCGTTGATCTCGACCTTCGCAGTCGCGGTCACGCATCTGTTATGATGGATTCATCGAAGGTTACTTACTTTCATCAACGCGAATCGCTGGTCGTCCGCCAAATTCAGTGATCTCGACATTCTTGCTCTCGGTACAGCCACTGCTCGATGGTCCTTCCTCTGTAGTCGTTGCCCTCGTGCAATGCGTTCTACCTCTTTTCTCCGTCGTCTCTTATTTCGCAGTTCTATAATCGATAGCAGGTTTGAGCATGTTGTCTTTTACGCCCGAGGCACCGCGTCACAACGCGCACGCAACACTTTCCTCCTTCTTTCAACCTTTTACTTCGTATTTTCCTTATTACTGAATACAACGGAGAGGAAGTGTTGCTGGTCGATGAAGATTTAATTATGTTTCTTGTTTGCATTTCTCGACGATTTCGGGCGTCCCAAAAATGCAAATAAACCGGTTACAAAATACTTATATATGTATGTCGATCTCTGGTTCGCTTTATGACTTAGGAATTTATTTTGAACTTCGGTATGCCAAAGTGTTTATGTATATAGGTCATATTTATATGTATATCCTGAAAACGATAGTGGATATTATACAATGCTTACGTTTATTTAAAAGTGATTCGATCTAGACAAATGCTATAATGCCTAGAACCTCGTTACAAATATAAACGTGTGTCTCAAGTCTATCAGATAGCATACCGATTCGATCAGTTTAATTCTGCAATTTTATCTTGCGTCTACGTGCTGCGCGTACTTCGAACTATGTGTCATCAAAGTATTTACACGAACCTCTTACGTATTTTAATCAAACGACGTGAAATAAAACCGTGCGAATAGTTGCATTGTGTGCATACTTATTCCATCGCTTGCTATACTATTAGGTTGTCCCAAAAATTTCTTTCGTAATTTGCACTCGATCATTTTGCGTGGCAGTGTTTATACAAATAGACAATCTAATTTCTCAGATGGAGCAAAATGAATCGTACACAATTCAATAATGTAACGTTAGACATAAAATGTCGTGTATGTATTGGATTGTCTAGAAAGTTCGTGGCAACTTTTAAGAAAAATTCAAAGGCACATTTGCATTTTGATATATATTTATTGAATTATATAAATACCATTTTGTTCCACGACCTTTTCACTTTTTAAGGGATGCACCCACGTTAATTGTTTTCAACCATTCCAATATAAACAGACGTGTACCACGTATCAAAAATCGCCACGGATTTTCCAGACAAACCAATATTATTTATTAATAAAACGAAAGAAACTTTTGGGACGACCTAATAATTAAAATCGATTTACAGATCAAAATTGCTTCGATTTAGAAAATAATACGACGAATATCGCCTCAAGTTCAACAACGCGATAGTGCAAGAACCGCAAAACAACCGCAAATCATCAACAGTGCGTGGTCACCTAAGACACCTTTCATTTATACGAATTAATAGCTCTCATATACCGTGAATATTTACATTTTGAATCATACCGAGTATTGACAATTCATTAGCTTTAGTTCTGGTACTCGTGAGACTTTCAACGTTGTACCTATCCCGTGGCTAGAGACTTTCGCCCCGTTTAAACGGTGTTCGATGATATTTAAGGGAGGAGTCTGGCCCAGCTAATGTATTTATCTAATGCATATAATTTCCAGATATAATTAATTTTTGTTATTGAAACTTTTTTTTACATGTAAAGGGACGTTCAAAGAAGAAAATTTGACAGTATAGATTTGATTTGAATGTATACATATATAGATATATGTAGTAGTCGCAAGGAAAGGATTCGGTCATTTTTTTTTTATCCGATACACTTGATTCAACGTTTAAATTGAAGGTAATTGAGTTTATATGCTTATGAACCTCGACTCTTAGTGAATTATTATTATAACATAAAGTTATTGCAAAGAATCGGCCGACATGCATCGTTCATTTTCATGTTTTTTCCCGCCATTTTTGCAATTAACAATTTTTGTTTGCAAATTGAGGTTCATACGAAATTTTCCGATTTTACCCATCAGATGTTTTCCAAGGGCTCCACGTATCCTTTATATGTAAACAAAGTTTCGATAACAAAAATGAATTATATCTGGAAATTATATGCATTAGAAAAATACATTAGCTGGACCAGACTCGTCCCTTAACTAATTTGCAGCACTCTAACTTTTTAACCAATTACAGCACATTTTTATTCCGTTAACCACGGTGTACAGTGTACGATCACTGTAACGAATATTATTAATAGAAGCACGTAAGCAGTGTAGAATATCACGCGTAACGAAAAGAAAATGTTTCTAATTTTTTAAATGTGTTGCAATCGAACAAGGTTCTCTAAAAACGAGTTCGAGAGCGCGTCGACCGTACAGCACGCATCGAAGTACGAGTACGATGTTACCAATGAGTGTTCCGAGCGCTCGTCGACCGTAAAACACGCATCGAGGTACGAATACGATATTACCAACGAGTGTCTTCGCAGCACTCCGTCGAGTTTCTTTCACAACGTCAACAAAAACCAATGGCCGATTGTTTCACTTTGCAAACGAACCGCAAGCCCCCGCGAACGATAGTTTCACTTGGCAAACCAAATACGATGCGACGTTCGTAAATCACTCGAAACCACTCTTCGATCCGTTACCCTATCTCATACATTAATGCTTTCTACGCACTCGACACGACAATTGTTTATTATTATAACAAGGGATGTCCACTCGTTCGATCTCTTCGTGCCTATCCTTAGCGAACTATTTTAGCGAAATTAAAATGAAATTATATATCGCTCTATATCGTTGTTCATCGAAGGATCACGTTGAACTCGAGAGTTGAACTTCAGGCAAACGCACAGGCGATATTGCGATGGCAGCATAAATTGTTTAAACTTGGTTCGTATTGAATTTCTGATCGAACATGAAGGGGTTAAATAGACAAATAAGTAACGTGTGCGAAGTTAACCTCGCACTTTTCGAACGTTGAGTTTTTCACTCTTGCGCCGTGTTGCGCTATATTTGTGCTGAATTGTGCCGTAAACCGCAACTCCGTAAGTCAAAGCGTACCCAAGAGAATTGAACAGAACAAAATTTTCGACAGCCCCGCACTTTTCGAACGTTGAGTTTTTCTTTTTTGCGCCGTGCCGTGCTATATGCTCTTGTTTACGGCACAATTCAGCACAAGTATAGCACAATACGGCACGAGAAAGAGAAACTAAAAATTCGAAAAGTGCGGGGCTAACTTCACACACATAAATAAGTAAATAAAATCGTCGACACGGTCTGGACGTTCGGAAAACGCGTGAACATTGTGGTTGCCGGCTTACTTTGTGGTGCAACAGGTATCTCGTACGGTCACCGCGACCGCGCTCCAGTTCGAGAGCCAATTCTTCACTAAAAATGAATGCTCCGCGTATCACCAACGACCAAAGAATGGCAGTGTTCTGTTCGTCGCTGTTCTCGATGCCGGCGCTACGTGCCTCGACACCCCACCACTTCCTCGAACGCGCACAGGTTCACCCGTAGGGGAGCGGAAATCGATCGGGACATCGACTCGATCGTCTTCCCCGGCGATCCACCTGAAGGTATATTCAACGCTCCACCGAAATGAGCTCCTCCTCTTCCGCGGAGTGCAGTTTACATTGGGAACGATGCAGCATAAAAGTGGGCAACGTGAAATGCGCGCGAATTTGTGAGTAAATTTGTAGCGGACGTTTTGTAGTCGGCTTTACAACCGCTTAATTTGCGTTATTACGCGTACTTAACCGTCTCACCGTCGCTCGATTGAGAATTTCGAGCTAAACGTAACCTTTGGCTATTCAGAGATGGGCAAAATTTGTATCCAGATATGAGAGAGCTTTCTGTACGTTCTGAATTAAATTTCGAGTTAAACGATTCACAATACGATGTTTTCGACTGTTATTTATAATTGGAATAAAATTTTGCCCATCTCTGCTTGGTATCCTGAATCGTGTACGAAGTTTGTAACCAACGAGCGTTGATTGGATTTTTTGTTTTAAATCGCGTGTCGATATCATAACCTCGATAATTTCAAGGGTTCGCACAGGTTCGCATGGATTCGCGAGCCCCTGATTTATTTATATAGATCCATAATTCTATTATAAGAGTTCGCTTGTTCGTTGGTGGTGGGGAAGGTCTGAAATTAAAACTGTGTCGGCTGTTTTGATGCACTGGTGGCGCCATCTACCGAAGGGTTTCGATGTTACCAGGCGAATATTGACTGTCGCGCGCATTCGACCTCGATCGATCTCTCGCTCGAGCGTCGCGCGGCCTAATCATGGCGTAGGATGTTAAAAGTGGTTCGTTCTTTCGTGCATGATTCTCTGTTAGAAAGTCGAGGATTTAGTGGACGTCTTTGTGATTAGTTACCGTTCGAAATTCGAGGAGGAAACGTGGCCCCATGCGAACCTAACCGTCGGTTGCATCTGTATCGAAGAATGCAGAACCATTGTAAACGACACGTTATCGGCGTCCTGTACCGGCACAAATTTTGGAAAGAAAGTACACCGCGTAACGGGACTCACTCGCCGGTATCGAAGTTGAACGAATTCTCCGATTATCGGGGACGTATCGAGTAAGTAATTTCTTTTTACGTTTATTCCCCATTCTAAGTTACGTAGATACGTGAAAAAGATCTGCATCTTGATTACGTGGTCCGTTACGATCACTGTTGCATCGAAGGAAACGTAAGGAACACAGAGTTCTTGTCGTGTCATCTTTTCGTTATGCCTGTACGCGTTCTTATCGTTCTCAGTCGTTTCGTTCGGCTATCATATCCTCCGTGTTTGTGTGTACATATAAATTTCAGATTGCAACGTGGCTTTATATTCGCAGTACAGTTACAGTGGCTGTAGAAAGTATTCGTACACCGATCAATTTCCAAAAAAAACTCTGCTGTAAATGGTTCGTCGTAAGAATCGTCCAAATACTTATTGCTTCTATACTTTTACCCACTTTTCACATTTTTTTTATTAATTTCACAAATTATATCGACCAGTAAATGTTGTTTGGACTATATCTATCTTCGAGACTTCCGAGAATATGTAAAATATCATTGGTTAATAAAAGGAATTAATAGACTACAATTTCAGAAAGTATTTTGGGAAATTGATCGGTGTACGAGTACATTCAACACCCGCTGTAGTTCGATCATTAATCGAAATTAAATATAATAATATTAATAATCGAAATTAAATATAATATATAAGATATAAGATTGGTATCACTTTCACGGAAAGAAAGCAAACTTAATGTGCGAATACATCAAATTACGTCTGCTTTAACCTTGTACCGTTTGACTCCGCATTCTATTTAATTGCGTCACTCACTTTCGTTGCTCCGTTGACTCACGGTTATTCACTGTATCGTAAATATGTATATCTATTCACGATTTGTCAAACCGACACCAACGTAGATTTGTTTAACAAACTTAAAAAAACATCATGCATCTGCATCGTTGACCATGTAATCTTGATTATTCTCCTCGATATTTTTTTTTTTTTTTTGTACTATAAATTCACCGAGTGTGTAATTAATCGGAGGAAGCCGTACCTTTCTACTTTTAATTACGTAAAGAACGCGTCAGGTGTAAAGAACTGAGTCAAGGTTTTACGCGGAAACGAACGTGTGCGCGATCATGTTTATACCTTCGAGGCAATGACCCAAAACAGTGGTGCTTGCATTGGGTTCGGAAGGAGACGAGTCTTTTGTTTACGCGTCCTTGGTGCCAAAATATACGCAAACGAAAGCATTAATTACGCGATTCATGGTATACAGCGATGTAATGCACGGGTGTTCGTAACTATCCTTGGAAATCTCGGTTCTAAAAAGAAAAACGCTGTTGGGAAGCACTGGCCGAATGGAAACATCGGTAGGTAGGAAATTCTGGTTTCAAAGGCACCTTTCTCTCGGTTTCGCTCGAATGGGACGCACTCGACGCCACGCCGTGGCCTGTGAAACAATAAAATACAACAACAGAACCGTTCTTGTATCATTCCACGGGTTCTTTCGTCTCGCGATTTTCGTGGACGTTCGTCGGCGCGCCAAGTGTTGTTAAGTTATCCGATGTCAAAGGTTCGGGTACGACAACAGTCGTTCGAATCGGGGACAATAAATATCATTTATCGAGACAATTGTCGATGGAGTCGCGGCGCTGCGCGCGCGCGTCCAGTTTCCCCGGGTTTGTCGTCTGCCAAGAATCGAGAATCTCGATCGCGTGCTCCAGTTTCGGCGAACGCGAAATTGTTCGAGCGTGGAAAAATCGTCGCGCGTCTCTTTCGATGAAAACGTCACCGGAAGTTTCGTATCGCGTGTGCGCGATTTGAAAACCGGCTTATCGACGGAGTAGAACGAGTTAATTATCGCGCGATAACGACCTGTATGCGTAAAGAAGGAAGATGACTTTTGAACCTGCTGGTGCTTTTTGTAATTTTCTTACGTCGCGCGCAATAACCACCGAAACATTGTCGTCTGTTTAATTCGAGTATAGCGGTGCTCGATGTGCGCGTCGAAGATGCGACGATGAAGATGGAGACTCGACGCCGAGCTGAAAATGGTAATTGTAAGTGGGAATTCGTTCAACTGATTTTCGTAGTAAGTCTGAGTTGTTTAAGGAACGAGCATCCGTAGAAGTAATCTAATAAAATCTAGCTAACTTGTCGAGTACTGTCGAGTTGTTCGAATATAAAGGTTCACATGGAAGAATCCAGATATATCGATACCGATATACGGTATACCTTTATCGGATATATCTTTTATAACGATTAATGTTAATTCTGAATATCGTCAATCATAGCATCAGGACAGGACCACGCAGAACTAACTGCAATGACGAGACAAGTAATAATTCATAATTTGGAATGTACCCAGCATAACATTAACAAGAATGCCTCCAGCAGTGATAAGGACGCATATTCTTTACTTAATAATGTTAGATTTTTCTACAATAATTTCCCGCGACCGTTCAGATCGTTCAATCTATAGAAACTTTGGACTGTAGGTAATATCGGGTTGTCCGGAAAGTCCACGTCGATTTTTGGTAGGTGCTACAGGTCTGGATATATCGAAGTGGTTGAATACGAATAACATGTATACATCCCTTGAAAGGTAGAAAAGTCGTGGCACAAAATGCCACCAATGTAGTCCAATAAATATATATTAAAATTCGAACGTGTTTTGGAATTTTTCTTAGAAATTGCCACGAACTTTCCAGACAACCTAATATATATCCAAAATATTTGAGTACTCTAAAAGCATATTAAAATGTCGGAATTATGCCAGGGTTTTTTAGCGTGTGAGCCCTCGGTGACCTTACGGAGCAGAATTAAGTACGCAGAAGTACAAAAAGATTTTTTTCTTTTAAATAACGATTCGTTTCTATTTAGTACTATTCCCAGGGTCCTGTCCAAACTTTTCTCCACTTTGTTCAATAATCCTTTTTTATATTTCCAACAGGTTGCTCTTAATATCATCCAACGAGAATAATTTCGTTTACATAAGACAGAATTGAGTTGTATTCGTCCAGAGGATCGGATCCATTATTTCCATGGTTCGCAAAACTAGTAAAACGATCTGCACTGTCGACGATCATTCACGGATAATAGCAGGATACCGTGAATAGCTGGTTACAAGTATACGAATCCCAATAAGAAGGAGTTCCTATATTACGGACTCTTTAGATCTCTAGAATTCCGAATAAAGCCTGCCACTGTTATCGGTCGTTTCTAAAAGATCCGTGACTAAAAAAGTTGTTTTCGCGAACGAGTTACGCTTGTCGACATTCTTTCTGACCCATACGGTCTCTAGTTTCACGTATAACTTCGTTGAAGCTTCATGAACGATTGCGGCTGAACATCCCATCGTCGGAGTTCCATCGACTCGATCAATTTTTTCCAGTCGAATTGTATACACGTGTGCAATACAAACTTCGCACGCGACAGGATCTGCAATAAATCAAACCAGACATTTCTGCGAATCAAAACACCCGCGGCGCTGGTTTCTCTTTTGCTCGCGAAAGATGCTTGAAATTCTCAGAGATTTCGTGCACCGGCATAAGGATTTTACGATTCTACGGTTTATTGATACGGAATCACGGGATGTTCAGAGAAAACAGCGTCCAGTCAAAGCGAACAGAATTTATTTACGATCTGTGATCTTCCCAATGATAGTATGTACAGCTAAGGACGGAAGTATCCATGCAATATAATGAATCTTCTATATAAATAATTATATTTAAATATATGTACGATCCCATTACACCATCATACGTGAACCTTATTATTAATAGGTGAACAGGGACAAAAGTCGATTATAGTATAACTATTAATACAGAAGTTTCAGGCCTTTAATTTCGTCCCTCTGCATGCATAAAATGTATCGTCTAACATTGACGATGATAGCGATCCATAGAGGATAAGCTGGCTGACGCTCAAAGCGAAATTTCACCGTAGA